CCATGGAAGCTTCAAGAACCTGGAAGTAGTCAGTCCAAACAGCTAATGCAGGTTCCTATGGCACCTCTGACCTGGCATTTTCCTGTAGTGCCAAAAGAACCCCAACAGCCAGCTGTGCCTTTTGAGTTGCGTGTACCGACCTCTACACAGAGTATTGCCGCACTATGTGGGGAGAGCTCTGTGCATGTGGAGGTTAAGAAAGACTTCTTTGGTACTGGTCAGCTGGTGAATCCTTCTCTTCTCAGATTAGGAGGCTGTGCAGCTGTAGGGGAGAATCCAGAAGCTCAAGTGTTTATCTTTGAGTATGAGCTCCAGGCATGTGGCAGTTCTTTGACTGTAAGTAGCTGCTTCTGAGATTCAGTTGTATTCATTGAGGGTAAAAGCCAGGTTACTGCACATTCTTTCTTGATCTGATTTCAGATGACTGAAGATGAGCTGGTCTATAAGTTCACCCTCTTTTATACTCCTGAGGCTTTAGTGGGAACTCCCATTGTAAGAACCGATGCAGCAGCTGTTGGAATTGAGTGCCACTATTCAAGGTAAAAACAAGTGGTGTTTAAGCGGTTTCACAACCGGCTAATTGTTTTCTGTTTAGGTTGCACAATGTAAGCAGCAGTGTTTTGATGCCCTCTTGGGTTCCTTTTGCTGCTACAAAGGTTGCAGAGGACGTTTTGGTGTTCTCTTTGAAGCTCATGACGGGTAAGTGTTTAAGTGTTCGTTTTAGAATGGTCTCTAAAATATCACGGACACCCCTTTTTCCCTTCCACCCGCAGATGACTGGATGTTTGAGAGGCCAGCCAATCAGTACTTCCTAGGGCAGGTTCTGAAGTTTGAAGCTTCTGTGAAGCAGTACAACCATGTTCCTCTGCGCATCTTTGTGGATGGTTGTGTGGCTACTGCGGTCCCTGATATTAACTCTGCTCCAAGATATTCTTTTATTGAGAACCATGGGTGTGTAAGGATTAGTTGCTTGACCTCCCATGTGTTGCCAGAGACTAAGTGTTTTCCTTTGCTTTTAGGTGCCTGGTTGATGGAAAGCTTACTGGTTCTACTTCCAGTTTTATGCGTCGAGTTCAGAATGATGAACTGCACTTTCATTTGGAGACTTTCAGATTTCAGCAAGCAAATAGTGGCCTGGTATGTAGTGATACTGTAGTTCAGATCTAAGAGATGATTGTTCCCCTGCATGCAAAATGTTTTGCTTCAAATTTGTTTTGTAGCTCTACATCACATGTGCTTTGAAGGCAGTTATGGCTTCAACCCCAATAAGTCCAGTGAACAAGGCTTGCTTCTTTGCCAATGGGTATGTCCTGACTAAGTTTTCACTAGGGATGTAACAATTCGCTCAACTCACGATTTGGTTCTCGTGTGGGGTTGTGTGTTTGTTTGTTTGTTTGTTTGTTTGTTTGTTTATTTATTTATTTATTTATTTATTATTATAATTTTGTTCTTTTTGTAATTTAAGTAATTTAATAAAAGCCAAGGGTCAAGTGCTCAACTAAAGCAAACACTTTTCACTATAATGGTGACTTTAAATGAAACTTAAAAAAAAAAAAAAATAATTA